AAAATTGAAAAAAGTTATAATACAGGAAGATCAAAGACGCAGGACAACGGAGAATTACTTTTTCAGAATCAAATTGTTCCTTTAAAAAAGGCTTTGGCTTTCAATACGTTCTTACATACCAATGTCTTTTCTTTTTTTTAAGTGTGAGAACAGTGTTAGGAGCCGCAAGCCAGAGCGGTACATAAATCATGTAGTCACTAGCAGAGCTTCAGCTGGGTTTGTCTGTTTGTGTTTATCACCAGGGCAACCAGCTCAGTAAAGTGTGAATGAACACTGGGACTGAAAAACTCCAGGAGACATTGCATCACAGCGTTGTAATCACACGCAGCTCCCGACGTCACACTGTCATGACTCATGTAACATGAAAAGTGCAAGATAAGCATGGAACTCCTACTAAAATTCATTGATGTCTACTGACTCTAACACAAAAATGTCTCAAGAGTCGCAATAAAGCAATATAGAAAATACCAAAAATACGTTTCAAGAAAGTTTATAAGGCTTTGAGGGTTCACCTCAGTATCTTAGTTGTTTTTAGGACTGGACATAGATCTCTGAGGTTGTTCCTGGGATCTGTTGGAGCTACTCTTCATAGCATCAAGTGCTCCAATGACCACAAGGACTAAAAGCTCTCAGAAAATAATCATGAAATGTACATCTGCAATTGATTAACCTTTGGAGTCAACCCAAATCAAGATTGACAACATAGCTAACCAATCTTAGCCAGCATCCCCATTATATTTTCATTTTTATTAAACAGTACTGATTATTTTATTTTATAAGTATTAGTGCAACTTTTGTGATTTGTCTGACACAATAGGCACTTTCCTTTTTAACCCCAATATTTTTCACCAGTAAGGATGTTTTCATTGGACTGTTGCTGTTTTGTTTTCCAACAGTACAGTGCAAAAGTCAGGATCTGATCTCTCATCAGTTATACTCAGCAAAGCGTCATGATTGTTCATAAACCCACTGCTCTGCAGAGAATGCCAGTCCTGTCTACACTATTTCTCATGCCACTGTTGAGACCGCAGCATCTACAACAAGACCGCCATATCATCTGCACTTAAGTAGGAATTTTAAAAAATCCAGCATTTCATTTTTTTAAAGTGTCAGAATATTAAAATGTCATACAGTGTGACAAGAAATGTCATTTTAAGTGTCAATTATTCAATAAAGCAAAAAGCTGGTGAAGATTCTCAGTCATCCAGGACATGATAAATTCAAAAAACGTTCAATACAAAAACAACTGGACTTTGTAACAGAAGACGTTTTGCTCCTCATCCGAGGAGCTTTCTCAAT